AATTGAATATATAAATCACTTGTATCTTAATTATTTTAGAATTTATTTTTCACTCTCTACTTTTTTTTGATATTTTTCTTATTTTTAATCACTAAGAAGTTAATTACAAATATAAAAAATATATTATACCAAAAACATACTACTAGCCCAATAACAACTAACAATCATTAAATCCAATGAAGTCCAAGCTCAACAACTACTAGTTAGGATATTTCTAAGGGTGTGTCAATATTTTTATCAAATTTGAATAAAAGTTTATTTTGATATCAAGTGTTCTAATGGAGATTTGTGTGGCTTTACCAAACCAACGGTCAATCGGGAGGATGTTTGGCCGGTCGACCGACTAGTGTAAATATATATATATATATTTTTGGCTTGAGATGGTAATCCAAGAGATCGACCGACGAGTGTAAATTTTTTACAAATTTTTGCCTTGAGGTGGTCATCCGGGAGACATTTGGAGAGACATTCGATGGTGAAAATTTAACGATTATGAACAGTAATTTGATGAATGGCAATCGATCCTCAATATGATGAAGAATTTGAGAAATTCTAGATTTGATGAAAGATTTAGTGGACCATTAGAGCAGCAAAAAATAAGTTTTTTTTATTAAATTTAAATTTGATACAATATTTGGTGAACCATTGGAAATAACCTTATAACTCACATGACAGAGTAAAAATAAACACCACTATATTTAGTATCAAATTTTTCTTTATAGGAATTGAACAGAAGATCTCACATCACAAAAGATATTACATAATCACTAGACAAAGACCATAATTTTTGGTGCACTTTTTTCTTCTTTTTTTTATTCTTCTTTTTTTTTGATGGTTTATTTTTTGGTGCACTTTTCCCGTAGCTTATTAGGATTATTTCTTACACTTAAATATGTCAGTATATGTGTTTTTATTTTGGTAATTGATATTTTAATTATGTTAATTTGATTTATAATATTTAAATGATTTCGATATCATTTTTATTCAAATTTTATAATAGAAGCAAGGGTATTAAATTTGGACAAAAATAGCATTTGTGAATCATTTAGATGCAAATTAAATAAGTCGAGAACTACATTGACATATTAAAAACAATGAATAAAATGGCGCATAACACATAATCAATATGTTTGTTTGAGTTAATACAATCAATATTTATGTTCCAATTAATTAAATTTAAGTTGTTTTTCTGTTTTGTAATAATTAATCTAATTGATAACTACATTTTTTAGAATAGAATAACCTATAATTATAGAATCAAATCGATTTTTATTGTTTTATTGGATTACCTAACTTAAACTGTTGGGTTCCAATTTCAAATATTTTTTTAGCTATAAGGACTAGTTTTGATTCCAACTTTACTCTCCAATCAAATCAATTTGATTAGTACAAGAATTCTTAGTAATTTTTAAATTTTTTTAATACTACTTTAGTAATTGAAGCTTCAAAATAAGATGAAAATTCACAGATAAATATGTGAATTTATGTTCCAGTCAGTCACAGAGTCACAATGACCATTCATGTGATTGATTACACACACACACACACAAAAAAAAAAAAAAAAAAAAAACTGCTTCTATCAAAGTGGGGTAGTCCTTGTGAAAAAAGAATAGAAAAACTCTAATTTAGATTGTTTTTATGTTTTAAATTTTGTGTTCTTAAAAAAATATCTTAGTTGCATGTGTGCGCATGGAGCAACCACACAATTTGAGTACTCATCACAACAACTTGGAATCACATCTCAAATCATTCTTCATTAATCCTTCTCTTCAAGACCACGTTTTGAATTTTTTTTTTGTAATTGGGTCCACCTACTCAAGGACACCACAACATGCTCGTTCTATCAAGTATGCAGGCTTCACATAAGTTGTGAATAATGTGAGTTTTGATAGTGATGGCGAAATTATACAAGTCCCTCTGGCTGTGGGGGCTTGACAATAGCTAGTTCAGAGATAAATAGATATCCTAAAAAAGATAAAAATAAAATAGAGGGGACAATTTGAAATGATAAATATTGGTCTATTTTGCCTCTGTTTGGGAAGTGAGTTGACGTTTTGGCTTTTTGACTTTTTTGACTATATGAGCTAGGCTCAAAAGCTTAGTTTGGAAAGGGCTTTTGGCTTTTTGGCTTTTTTGATTTTTTTGTAAGAGAAGAATGTAATGATTATGGGGTTGGATGGGATGTTTTATCTGCTGTGGTTCATGAGCCTATTCTGTCTTTTATGGCTCATTGAGCCAAAAAAGCCCAATGAGCTATTGCCAAACCAACCCAAAGAAAAAATATAAAACTTTTGACACCATACTTACAAGTATCAGATCCACATTATACGAAACTCACCCCTATGTGGATACTGTGTAGAATTTTTAATAATTTTTTTAGATCTAGCATTTTTGCAAAATTCATCATGCTATGTGGATACTGTGTAGAATTTTTAATAATTTTTTTAGATCTAGCATTTTTGCAAAATTCATCATGCTATATAGAAAGCCATATAGAAGGTGAAAATTTTAATAAAAGAAATATATGATATATAGCAACCATTTTCAAAATGTCAGTCAATTCCTAAACAAATTAATAATTGATAAGCAATCTTCTATCATTGGAGTTACATTTAGGGATGATATATTTGAAGTTTTAAGCATTTTTCATTAAATTGGATTTTATTTATTTGTTTATTTATTTATTAGAAAAACAAAACATTTATTGTTAAATTTCTAATGTTTCTTTATCTTAAAACAATAGAAACCACGGTTAGATCATGTGAATGTAAAACGGTATGTCTTAATTGAGCCATGGGACCGACCTTTTTGTAAACATCATATTTTACCGAGCGTCTTTTTAGGCCTTATTCACTTTAATGATTTACATTTTGTAGTGTTTTTCTTAACAAATTATTCATACAAAAAAAATTAAATTACATTAATTTAATAATCGTAATTGTGTGACTAATTCACATTAATTTGTATTTTGAAAAGGATTTTTTTTTTTTTTAAGGTTTTTAGTATTAAGATTTTATACGATAAAGGACATACAATATTTTTATAGTGGTTGAGGCCTCTCAACATTTTTCAAGAGAAATTTTGAAATTTTCCTGATTTTCTCTGCATTTTGAATTTTTTTTTGTATTTTGAAATTTCTTTAGTTTGTTCACAAATTTATTTGTGTTTTGACAAATTTTCTCTAATTTACTCACAATTTTTTTTTCTATATTTTGACCAAATCAAAAAAAAATTGAACTACAAAATTGAACATAAATAAATTGGCCAGAGAACAATAATGTGCGAATTCATTCCAAATTACAGAACAAATAAAAGGCTAATTCATGGATAGAATGAGAATCAATACACATCCAATCGACTCCAAAGAAATACCAGGTCACTTCAACCGAATCGATTGTTGACCTAATTGTTGATTGATAAACACCACAATTTGTTCATATATATATAGATAAATGCATATGAGTTTCTTGAGCGAGACACGAACGTGCTTGCCCTTGATGGAATCAAAGGCTGGAAAAATGAAGTCCTTTAAGAGGGGATTGTTGTCGGCGGTTGGAAGCGTGTTGGTAGAATTAGATAAGGTGGCGAAGGAAGGAGGAAAAGCGGTAGCGTTACGGCAAAGATGGAGGCATCGGGAGAAGGAGGAAGATGACCAGAGGGTACCTAAGGCTGTGATCTAGGGTTCTGTGCATCTGGTGATGAAGAGAAAGAGAGAGTTTAGGGGAAATGAGCTGTTTGTAAGAAGAAACACACTACCTATTACGGGTGAGGGACTTGAGCATAGTTCTAAATATCGTCCGGTACGTACCGTACCGGCCGATTCGTACCGGAAAATCAGACCATCGGTTCGGATATAGACCGGTATAGCGGGAAGAATGAAATTCGTAGTCGTAGCGGTCGAGTCTCGGTACATATCAGCCTGAATTCGATACACAGGGCGATACAGGCCGATTATTGTCGGTACGGATGAAAATCAGCGCAGAAAACTGCTCGTGGCTCCGATGCTATTTTTGGTTTTGGATTGCTAGTCTTCGCTAAAGTGATAGTGTAGCTATGAGGTTCATGAGGAGGTTGTGCTGTCCTTCGGCGGCTTTCGGCATGTTTCAGAATGCTTTTCTGGTCATGCCCCGTTGAGCGAAGCTTTGAGGCTACAAGAAGCATAGTGTATATATTTTATATTTATATTTTATATAAATGTATATTCATAGTTTTGGGCCAAGACATTTTGTTGAAGATGGTGGGTTGTTTTGAGTAATAATTGGGCCCATGTGTTTCTTTAACCAGCTCATGGGTCTAGTTGGTGTACTTCTGTGGATTTATTTTAAATTGTAGATAATTAAAATTTATAATTGAGACTAAAATAAATATATATTATTTAGTTGAAAATGAGGCAAAAGTATTCATACATATCAAAATTTTGATTAAAATGTGACAAATTAAGGTTAAAAGAGTAAAAAAAATACATAAAATTGAGTTTCAGAAGATTGTTTATGATTTTTAAAATTTTACGGCCGTGACACTCGATTCCCGATACGTACCAGGCGATACTACCGATACTGATACTCCGCAATTGATACCGTTACGTTACCTGATACCGCGATTTAGAACTATGGACTTGAGAGACATTAGGTTACAAAAAAATATATATGTTATAAATCTCTCCCATTATCAAAAGTTAGAAAGGTACGTCAAACTAAATAATCCTTCTGAAAAATAGACATTGTATAAATTATATTTAATTTTTTAAAGATAAATATGATATAATCATATAACTGTAGTTATTCAATCAGCTTAATTTTTGTATGAATAATCTGTTTAGTCAAAAAGTTAAATGGTTTGAATCATTAGAGTGAACGTTGTGATGAGACCGGCATTCAAGACTCAACAACACCTTCCAATTGATTCTGGGCGAGAGAGAAAATAAACTCTAGTTCCAAAAATAATGTAAGATAAGAAAATCCTTAATTGTTTTTGTGGACGAAGAAGAAGAGTGAACTAAATTTATTCAACGAAGTCGATAAGACCCATCTCCAAATTTATTGCATATCAATTATGATCATCAACGTAACCACAGTTTACCCAGCAAATTAACTAGAGAACCATAATCCCTCATGGATGTAACAGTGCATGACTGTATTATTATTTAATAAGTAACTTTATTTTGTAAATCACAATATTTTTAGATTAATTAGAGGCACAGTATGTGTCCACCTAATTAATTTGTGACACTTATTGGCATAGAATAATATCATACATACACATTTCGAATCAGGACATGGACCAAGTAATGTCAACAACACCCAAGTTTTTATTGAGGCCCAAAGCAGTCCAAACAGCATCAGACCCATCGACTATGTTGTTGGCACAAGGCCCTTGTCCTGCATGCTCTGCATCACAACCATGCCTCGAGTCACACTCGTCCACTACCTTCGCCATCACGCTCCTTCCATTACTAGCCTGAAATTCATTCAAAAAATTATTTATAGATCAAAATTTGTTATTTATTCTGTTTGAGCAACGTAAATGGCATGTACTGAGACAAAATATGATGTGCAAAGAAAATTATGGAATAAATTTTTTGTTTTTATATTATTATTACCTGAATTCGTATCATCTTTCCGCACCTCGATCCACCGGCATACCACCCCGTCGACAGCGCAACGATCGGTTGAGCATTGGAATGGTACTTTCCGTCACACTCCGATGGGCCACCGCCATCACCTCCTTGGCTAAAATCGTTGTTGGTAAGCTTGGCGGGCGTGGAGGACTTGACCGGAGGCGAGCACTCGTAAGTAGGGTATGATTTTCCTCGGCATGTGAGAGTGCCTGACGGTTTACAACTGTTGGAAGGGGAAGGAGAGTTGTTGCAGATGTGTGTTCCGACGTCAGGGTCGTCGTTGCACTTGCCATTGATGCAAATGAGCTGACCGGCGCAGTCGTTTAGGGTTCGACATGGACCGTTGCAGTTGGAGATGGCATTCCCATGAGATGCAAGGGAGATGATGAGATTGAAAAATAGAAAGAGTGAGTGAAAGATGAAATTTGACATTGTCGTCTAGGTTGGAAAGATATTCAAGGGGTGTGGGGATCAGGCAGAAGAGAGGTTGCGTATATTTTTATAGGGGTACGCACATTACGTGCGTGTCACAAGCTGTTATCATGTTATGGGCATAAGCTGTTATCATGTTATGGGCATTTTGATTTGAGGGAAAAAAAAGAAGAAGGTGGAATTGCCATTGGTGGGCGCTGTGGGTTTTTTTTATTTTTGTTAAGAAACGAAATAAATCTAATAAATTACTATTATTGGGTCAATTTAATTTTTATGTAAATTATATATATGAAATGTCTAGCAAAATGAATCATTTGAATTATTGAAATGCGACTAGTAATAAGTCTCACTAATTCAGATAACGCTCTTTCATTTAGATTCTAGATTTTACAAGTGTGAAAAAAAATAAGCCTCACAAGCCCACAAGTAACCTCCCATACTTGTTTGTTTTTGTTAGTTTGCTTTTTTATTTTTATATATTTATTAGGGATAATTACAAAAAAAAAATCCTAGCGTTTGAGACTTGTAACAAAATAAATCCTAAATTTTTAATTTCGTCAATTTAAATTCCAATATTTTGATTTATTTTCAATATAAATTATTACCTATTTTTGTTAAGTAAAATCGTTAGAAAAATAGTATTTTAATTATTAAATTCAATGTAACTCGTAAATATACATAAAATGTTTAAAATATTATTTTTTTTATTGAGTTTAATGACTAAAATATTATTTTTTTCCTTTGATTTTACTTAATGAAAATAAACAAATAATTTGAATTGAAAATAAATAAAAAAAATTAGATTTTAAATTGACAAAATTAAAAATACATACTTTAATTTGTTACAAGGATCAAATCTAAGATTTTTTTAAAATATTTTTTCCTATATTATTATTTTAATCAAGACCACCCAAACTTTGCCCCTCACGCAAATCTGTGGTCCGCCCATTAATTGAGCGTTTTTTTGAGTCAATTAATAACTTCAAACGTTTGAAAAGCTATTTTAGATTGGTTGGTTAAATTTATTTCAAATAATTTTTAATTCTTATAATTTATTTTAATTAAAAAAAATTGATTTTGAGAAGCTGTTCATCCCTTACTGTTATTCATTCTAGTGGAAGCGGTCCAGTTCCGGTACCAAACGCGCCTAATATTTGAAACTTTTGTACTCCGTTGTGGGTTTGTTATTCATTCTAGTGGAAGCGGTCCAGTTCCGGTACCAAACGTGCCTAATATTTGAAACTTTTGTACTCCGTTGTGGGTTTGTTATTCATTCTAGTGGAAGCGGTCCAGTTCCGGTACCAAACGCGCCTAATATTTGAAACTTTTGTACTCCGTTGTGGGTTTGTTATTCATTCTAGTGGAAGCGGTCTAGTTCCGGTACCAAACGCGCCTAATATTTGAAACTTTTGTACTCCGTTGTGGGCTTGTTATTCATTCTAGTGGAAGCGGTCCAGTTCCGGTACCAAACGTGCCTAATATTTGAAACTTTTGTACTCCGTTGTGGGCTTGTTATTCATTCTAGTGGAAGCGGTCTAGTTCCGGTACCAAACGCGCCTAATATTCGAAACTTTTGTACTCCGTTGTGGGCTTGTTATTCATTCTAGTGGAAGCGGTCCAGTTCCAGTACCAAACGTGCCTAATATTTGAAACTTTTGTACTCCGTTGTGGGCTTGTTATTCATTCTAGTGGAAGCGGTCCAGTTCCGGTACCAAACACGCCTAATATTTGAAACTTTTGTACTCCGTTGTGGGCTTGTTATTCATTCTAGTGGAAGCGGTCCAGTTCCGGTACCAAACGTGCCTAATATTTGAAACTTTTGTACTCCGTTGTGGGTTTGTTATTCATTCTAGTGGAAGCGGTCCAGTTCCGGCACTCTCTCTCTCTCTCTCTCTCTCTCACTTTCTCTCTCTCTCAGTGTATGCCCGTGCCTAAAGACACGGTGTAAATAATATTGTGATTAAAATATAATTATAATTTATACGTATTATGTTAAAATTTGTGGAGTCTAACATTTTTTGATTCTTCTTAAAAAAATTTCAACAATTTTACTTGTACGACACGCTCTATAGAATTTAATTAAAATAACAACTCTCCCTAACCTTAATGCAAATCAAAATAGTAAAATGTAAAGTAAAAAAAATAAAAATTTATAACTCAAGCCTAAAGGCACTCTCAACAATTTTTTTGGTACCTCACACTCTACAAAACTCAATTAAAATAAATTAATTCAGAATGACAACAATTTCATTGCACTGTAGAACTCAATTAAAATAAATCAATTCAGAATGACGACAATTTCACTGCATAGAACTCAATTATGACAAATCAATTCAAAATGACATACTTCATGCATAAGAGGAATGGTGAATGAACATTTTGGTACAAAAGAATAATAATTATAGCTTATTAAAAAACAAAAAAACTAATCATCCAGTCAAGAATGAAAGACTAACCATTAACACACATAGAAAAAAGCAACACAACCACAACGTTTCTAATGCTGATCAGTCACCTGTAACAAATCACTCAAACACTTGAATTCGACTTTAAAAAATTAGCTAAAAGAAATCATAACAGGAAAATTCATTCAAAATATTTATGAGAAACAGGAAAATCAATAATTATGAATTAAGAGAAATTGTACATAAAAAAATTTCTAACATAACTCTTCTTGATAAAAGCACCAGTGTCTTCTCCAATTTACCTGCAATTATCAAACCAAATACCAGCAATTATCACATTCATAAGTATGCGATCAAATATATGATTCCTTAGAAGGCTAACACCCCCTCCCTCCCCGTTTAAAAAAATAACCATTAAAAAAATGTAACACTTGAGAAAATCCAAACAATTGAAACTGACTATTGCCGACAAAAGCTAAGAGGCAAAACAAACTATTGTATTAAAACTAAAAAGACAGGACACTTAGTCAAGGTTCCTCACCTTCATAAGTATGAAAGTGTATTGTAGATAATTAGTTTATTCCCTTCAAAAAAATTTGCCTTGAGTTGTAATGGAGTATTATAGAACTAAATAGGAAAAGCAATATGAAGTCTTGCACTTCCTTTTACATCCGTAAAGTTAAAAAAAAAAGGACAATACTTCCAAATGCCTTCGAGAATTACCAAATGCATCCATCACTACAATCTGTGAATTAGTATTATAAAAGATTGATTCAATTCCTTCGACTTCCCTGATCTAAAGAACCTTTACAGTTTGTTCACATAAAACCACATAAGAAAAGTTAATTGAAGTAAGCATGTTAAATAAATAAATAGGCATTGAAGTAAAAGTCAATTGAACAAAATTATTCACTACATCATGCATGATGTAGTCAATAGAACATTCACTTATCCAGTGATGAGACTACTTGAATCTTTCAAATCTAAGATCTTACACAATCATTAATAGTACATTATCCTATGTTTCTCACTTAGGCCCTGTTTGGGGACTTACCTTTTTTAGCCAAAAAGCCAAAAAGTTACCCTTTTAGCCAAAAAGCCAACAATTCATACCAAAAAGTCAAATATTCTCTTTTCTCTCTACTTTTTACACATCTTTTCGTAATTAGCCAAAAATTCATCACAAACATATAAGTTTTTTTTACCTACTTTTTTAGCCAAATAGCCAAAAAGTTACTAAATTAGCCTGTTCCTAAACGAGGCCTTAATCCCATTAAAAGAAATAAGCTTAGAAATTATGAATGTATTTAAACTGCATAAAAAAATCGCTATCAAAGCCACCATCTTGTTGTGCTCTTGGGTCAATATTCACTTATCCAGCTTTTCATTGGAAGACAAATCCGGAATATGCAAACCAAAAAAAAAAAAATCCTGCATGCAAGAACAAATTTAAATTCTTTGCTTGTGGTGAACATAACAAATCTAGTAGTTCATGGCAAAACTGATATTACACCTATTAATATATTCCTAAGTATGTATCAGTGTCGGAATTAAGAAAAGACCACAATGTTGCATTCAGTTATTCGAACATGAGGAGCTTTCAACATGATTTTTTTTTTCTCTTCTTCATTTGCTTGTGGTGAACATAACAAATCTAGTAGTTCATGGCAAAACTGATATTACACCTATTAATATATTCCTAAGTATGTATCAGTGTCGGAATTAAGAAAAGACCACAATGTTGCATTCAATTATTCGAACATGAGGAGCTTTCAACATGATTTTTTTTTCTCTTCTTCATAAATAAGCAGACTTTATTAAAAAGCATCAAGATGATGCAAAACATACAAAAATTTAGCCCTCAAAGGGATAACAAAGCTAAGAAATCAAATCATTCACAAAATCTACAAAAGTTAAAACATCTGGATCCCAAAACATTGACTTATTGGCTTATTTGGATCACACCACCTTTCTACTTTTTGTATATTTTTTCGTAATAAGTGAAAAAAATCAACTTATGAGCTACATATAAACTTGACAAAACACAACCTATAGGTAACATCAAGTAAAAGTTTAACAACAATACTAATATTATGAAGCATCAAGTGTTTTATAGTCTTGAATCATACTAATATTTGAATTGTTAAATAAATAAATAATAATAATAAAAACTCAAGAACCATACCAGTTGATAAAAATTTTATTCAAGAACCATCCTGGGACTAAAAAAAACTGCGATGTCGACACTTTGAAAGTTGTTGAACCTCTTTTAAAATTATATAAAAAAAAAACTTTTGTGACAAAATAAAAAATTCAGCATCTCACTAAAAAAGAAAAAATAAGAAAGAAAGAAGTGTAAATTATCAAAAGAAGAATATATCAAAATAGTCCTTAAACTAATTTCGCGAATGAACTATGCTTAAAGGCACTCCCCAACCAAAATTAAGTGTAAATTATCAACATCTGATATTCCTTAAACTCACTGTTAGCCTCACACTCCATTTTTAAACCTCAAACAGTCCTCAAAGATTCAATTTTCTCAAGAATATCAAATTAAGGATATTATTGCAACAAAGTTCACTCTAAATATTCATAAAAAAAAAAAGTTCACTCTAAATGGTTAACAACAAAGTGCAAAACAAAGAATAAAAAAAAT